CCATATCACACTCTACTCATTACCAGCTATCATGCCAGCTCCAATATACAGGGCAGTCTCTCCCTTTCCGTCAACACTCTCAGTACAGTTTGACTTTCCTCTTTGATAACTGGGCTTTTCATTTTGGTTTGAACAATTTCAGACACTTTTTCTACCCCTTCTGACCTGGTCATCTTCCTCCATTGCACCATCACTCAAGTTCAGAAGCTAGCACCAGCAGCCTCTACCTCCTCCTCAGGGAAAATAAGGACAAACGTGAAAGCAATATACTGTGGACAGGGTGGTGTGTAAGGCCCCAGCAGGAGAAAAGGGCAGGGGGCTAGGGGTGTCATCCGTTTGGCAGAGCATTTATTGATTAGTTTCAGCTCAAACCAATTATCACTTGCAACACCAGTCACTAGAAAAGCCAATGCTCACTCACATTCTCCAATTTTGTTCCACAAATAAGATGCTGCTGTTGCTTGTGAAAGGTCACAGCTTGGTGGTACGTTAGCAACACGGGCATCAGGGCTTGTCAAGCTTTTTCTCTGCTTTATTTAGCTGCAAGAGTAATTATCTGACGACCTGATGTCTCTTACTGACTTTGTTTTAACTTTTGCTTTGCTTTATCCAATTGCATGTATATGTATATTTTGTAACTAATAAACAGTAATAGCAGCTAGTTATTTGGTGTAGAACGAACTACTTAGGACCCCAAAATAAAATGCAGTCTAAAGGATCAGTGGCACAGGTTGGCAACAGGGGCCCTGGCAGTACAGGTGTAGGATAATGTTGGAGGTTTCAGGCTACAAATACCTCACCAGCAGGTGATTACTAGCCACTAAAGGGTGTAACCTTAGCAGGTGGGTAAGACAAATTTTAAATGTAGCAAAGGAGAACAAACGAGTACCTGACACATGTAAGATGCATCACATATAGAAAATTTGGATCTACTGTTGAGTTGTGAACCAATGAAGAAAGTGCAAGATGTGGAGTGTATCAGTAAGCACCTAGAAATGACTTCTGATGGATCACAGGATGAGAAGGAAGAAATGTTCCAGTGTTCTTGTCTCAGCAAAGAGGAAGAGAAACTCTCTCCACTAATCTCAATCTCTGCTTTGTGGAGGACCTAGGACACTGATGGCTTCTTGTTACAAATGCCCCTACCCTAGATGGATGACATTAGTGGGGCAGTTCAGTGGTGTGTATAAAAGCAGAGAAAGGGGAGTGTTCTAGAAAGTTTATGTGAATCCGTTGTACCTGATACAATTTAAACGATAAGTGTTAGTGTCATTGTAATAAAAATACAATAATATAACTCCATCACCTGGTTATCTCAGCTTGTAAATATATTTATTTATTTATTTATTTATTTATTTATTTATTTATTTATTTATTTATTTATTTATTTATTTATTTATTTATTTATTTATTTATTTATTTATTTATTTATTTAGACTATTTTTAACAATAGTAACAACATATTCTTCCCAGGTCTGCCTGCTAGGCAGTTTTTCCTTTTGCTCACAACAGGATTTTTAATGTAACAACTTAATGGGAACTGAAGCAACTTGTTCCATAGCTTGGATGTAAGAAGTTGGTAGCAAATGAGTTGTATTTTCAGGCATGCTTTTACTTGGCTTATCTGAGTGTGGGACCTGTGGAGGCAGGAATTTGGTTTTGGCCATCTCTGAGGTGTGATGGTTGGGTTGAGGACACAAGTTCACCCAACTTAAGAGGTCCTCAGCTGAAGAGTCTGTCCTCGAGCTCTCTTCAGAATCAAAGATCCTTCAGATCTGGGGTTGCAAATCTGTCCTTATTATTGATTGGTTACTTCATATGCATCCATATAGTGCCATCACAGCAGTCACTGCTGCATCAGTCAGATTTTACCCATGATTCACCCAACAGCCTGTCTACAGGGTGACAAGTGGCTGAAAGCCTGGACACCATCCCCCTTTTGTCCTGAGGTTTTTGTGAGCGGGTTGGTGATGTCAAGAGCTGTTGACATCTCTGGCCTCTACTCCCAGTCATCACTTCTCTTTGCTTCAATACACCCCTCTATAAACTATCAATAAAACACTTCCTCTCTCCTGGTGCACATCATTCAGCTTAATGACTGTTAGTAAAGTGCCTTGGAATATTTTGCTGAGAGAGAATCACACTTTAGAAGTGGCATGCAAGTAAGGTTTCATTAGAGGAAGACTGGCCACTTCATGGAGTCTGACACGTTAAAGCAATTTCCAGGAGAATGTGGGGATTCTCTTTGCTGGCACTGTGATGTGCTCTAGTAATTGTCACCTTCTCCAGTGCATTAGGTAGTCAGTTGTTAAAACAGAGGGAAAAACATGGCAAACAGTTAAACTAAGCCTACAACTTTGTTTTTGTTCTTTTAAATAAAGATAGGGTTTTTTCCCTAGCACCAAAAAAAAAGAGAGACATTTTTATTAACATGGCTCAGAAGCAAAAAAATTTAACTTTTACAATTGAGATGCAGCAAGTGGTACTATGCAGAATAAGTAATTGATCAAAATACAGAACACAAGACACAAGCGCAATTGGACACGCTTTATTTTAATTTCTTACTACACTGTAATTAAAAAAAGTCTGAAATAGAAAGCAGAATTATATGCAAGAGCAAAAAATGGATATTTTTATTAGAAGATGTAGACTCTGGTAGGGCTGCTTAATGACTTAAAATAGATCATCGCCTCGCATTCACAACACACTTGTTCAGTCCCTTGTACTGTCCCAGAGCACTTACTTTGACATCGTAGAGTTTCTATTGTGGTCACATAAGCTGTACAAAACGAGTGTGTGCCTATGCCTGAAGTGAAAGCTCCCAAAAATGTGGTGTTCCTGGATCCAGGGGTATTAACTGAGCACAAGAGGTTGCAAGAATCTTTGCTTTTTCTTACGTACTTTAGCAAAAAAACAGCCTGCATTTCTCCCCTCTCAGGAGTTGCTTGTTTTTAACAGCTGGTCACAGATTTTGCAGGAGGCAATGTGTAGCAAGAGGAACAGAAGGTAAGGCACCTCTATGGCTTTCTCAGTGATGAGACCACAAAATGACACATGGTACCATCAAGCCCTGGTCTTTAATGAGCATTAACTTTTTTGGAAGCTCAGTTAGCTCACCTGTGCTGCTAGTCCCCACTCATGGGGGACCTTATAGCAGCCTTCCAGTACTACTGGACAGCCTGAAGAAGAGAAGCTCATGGGGGACCTTATAGCAGCCTTCCAGTACTTGAAGGTGGCCTACAGTAAACCTGGGGAGGGACTTGTTACAAGGGCTCATAGTGAAAGGAAAAGGGGTAATGGTTTTAAACTGAAAGAAGAGAGACATAGGTTAGAGATTAGGAGGAAATTCTTTAGTATGCGGGTGGTGAGACACTGGAACAGGCTGCCCAGGGAAGTTGTGGAAGCTCCATCCCTGGAAGTGTTCAAGGCCAGGCTGGATGGGGCTCTGAGCAGCCTGAACTAGTGGGAGGTGTCCCTAACCACGCAGGGGGGTTGGAAGTAGATGATCTTTAAGGTCCCTTCCGACTCTTACCATTTAATGATTCTGTGATTCTACATTCTTACACACCATGGCTGGTGGAGAGGAGTTGCTTGTGGCACATGCATCTTTGCCTCATGGAAAAGGATCCCAAGAAGGATTTCAGGGGAGATGACAGATGAACACACCCAGACACCCCTGCTTCCCCAGCACAATGGGGTACATGGCTCAGGATGGAGCAGTACCCTGCATGGAAAACTAATGGAAAACACAGATTCGGAGAAGCTCCTGGAACATAAGGTGCTCAGAAGGAGGAGTGATGCCTTGGGAGGCCCCACTGCACCTCACAGAGCAATGTGCTGTGAGAAAGCCAGGAAGCAGATCTAGCTTGTGGAGTTTCTCTCAGGATACATCTTTATTCCTTTTCCAGCTGAGTTGCTGTCCATGTATATTTCTGGGTTTGCTCATGAAATAGAACTTCATCCTGCAGTAGCCATGATTCCTGGAAACTTTCTGGGATGGTTTCATCTCAACTCCTCGCCAGGTGGCAGCTGCCTTGCAGGATATTTGCTAGGCTTGTGGGGCTGGCAGAAGACCCTCAGACTGCCCCTTCCACTCTTCCCTCCTTCACCCCATTTATCAGATGGCAGAGCCTAGACTGCTCTGGGGCAGGGAACGCTCCTGACACACACATGGGAAATGGGGCTAGAGGATGGGTTCAGGAGAGAGGGCAGAAAAGGATGAAGAGAGACCACATCATACAAAAGAAATGTGACCAGGAAATGTAAGTTTGGTGTTATGACCTTCAAGCACAGATACGAAAAAACTCTGGATTTTCATGAAGCAAAGGCAAGGACCAGTGTATCAACAGCTTACAGGGAGGGATGAGGGCACAAAATAAAGGACTATGTGTCTGCCTGTGCACATCAGAGTAAAAGAAAAAGCGTAGAAGCAGCAAGTGGGAAGAGGGAGCTGGGAATATTCTGGAGATAATGCATCCTGAGAGATGCTTCCAGCAAAGTGAGCTCTCCATGAACTGGAAAATTGTAACACTGTGAGACAAAGCAGTCCCTTTAACTAGAAATACCTGTTTTTATTGAAGTCTGAATGATCTACCATAAGGTTGTGTAATTCAGTCTAAGAATTTATAACACTGGGTTCTTTCTTTTTTTTCTTTTTCAGTGAAATACCAGGCCTTAATTAAAATAAAAGTTCAGACTACTTTGGTGAATGGAACTTTCCAGATTTCCTTGCAGCTCTAATGCAAAAGACCATAAATACAAGTGAACTATAGGAATATTATGGCCTAGAATTGCCTTGAGTGACTTGTATCTAATTTTAAATCATTCACTACCCAGGTGCTTTTTCATGCTTTCCCAACTGCTACCAATTACTCTATCAAATTTTGTTCAGCACAAGGATGACCAAAACAATAATAAGCAGATTTCTACCTCCTCCCCCTCCACCCTCAATGTGATATTTTGAAATACAATTAAATGAGAAAAGAAGGCAGCATCTTGGTTCATGGTTTCTGAATCTGGATGTTCAGCTCACCGTACACATGCCTCAAAGCATCACAATTCAGGCTTGCAATCAGCTTTTGTAACCCTGGTCGTCTGGGGATGCATTTTACTTGCCAGGTGAAGGAAGAGTTCATTGGGATTTGCCTGTAGGGAATAACGGAAATAATAATATTGTGATCAGTCAGTCAGTGCTCTCAACCTGACCCACAACTAGAGAAGCTAAAGGTGAACAGTGTAACATATCTCAATTTTTTGGTGTTTTACTCATTCTTGTAAGTGTTCTATTACTCCGTTCATCTTCTGTTCTTCTCAGAACTCATGCTGTCAAAGCCTTTTCTAGCCTTTCCTCCAGGCTAATTTTAAATTTCCAAAATTAATCCATTTTCTTCTGCCTCCTCTCGCTTCCTCTTGCAATCACTTTCAAAATGATCTTCCTTATAGGTAACATACTTTATTTCTACTTTATAATTCGATTTTACCTGTTTATTATAGCCTATAGACTAATGACAGTTCCTTAAATGGTTAAATAAGGCAGAGCATTCCCATGCAAACCTGATGCAGTTCTGATGAGATCCTGAGCTCTTTTGTCAGCTTCTACCCTGAACTCCCCTGCAGTGGTTGTAACATCAGTACATCTCACTGGCCGCTTCAGATGACTTCTTCATGTCCATACAAGCAATTCAAAGTGGTTTTGGAAGTTCTGCTGTTAGCAGTTACTCCTTCACACTATGTATGACTCTTGATAACTCATACTATAAAACAACTGTGTTCTGTGCTGCTCTTGATTTTCAATTTTTGCTACAATTAAGATGCATGGAGAGCATCAAGTATTGGGTTTCTGTGTTTTCTCAGTGTTTTCACTGTGTTCTGTGTGCAAGTTCTGAAGGCTGGTATTGATTGATTGATTGATTGATTGATTATGTTTGGGGGATGTCAGGATACAGCTGCTCCAAAGGAACCTATGGAGAAGGTAGTGTAATGGGGAGCTATTTGTAAAGAAGAATGTTCTTTTCCTCAGCATGAAGTAAGAGGATTATTCATTTAGCCAGTGTTCTTGTCTCCCATGGCTATGGTATTCTGCAAACAACTGAATAAAGTGAGAGTAAAGTAAGCCTAAACTTTAGTCACTGTTTCAAATTCTTATCTGATATGAATTGGCTCTCAGATGTCCATGTCCTGTGCCAGGATTAGGACAGAAATGACAGCTCAGGCTTAGCACAAGTTGCTATGAGACAAGTGACCTCAATTAGCTCTAAATGAGCTATCCTGGGATCCTCTCCTCCCGATATTTGTTTCAGTGGAAGTCTGCCCCTGCTAAAAGGAGAGGTATTCTAGCTCCTTAGAGGCTATCTTACAATCATAGAACCATAGAACTATTCAGGTTGGAAAAGACCCTTGGGATCACTGAGTCCAACCATCATCCCTACTCTACAAAGCTCTCCCCTAAACCATTTCCATCAACACCACATCCAAACGACCTTCAAACACATCCAGGGATGTGACTTAACCACCTCCCTGGGCAGCCTATTCCAGTGTCTAACCACTCTTTCTGTTTTTTTTTTACCTAATGTCCCGTCTAAACCTCCTCTGTTGCAGCTTGAAGCCATTCCCTCTTGTTCTGTTGCTAATTACTTGTGAGAAGAGACCAGCACCAACCTCTCTACAATGTCGTTTCAGGTAGTTGTAGAGACTTAGGTATTTCCACGTGGCACTGCATTGTATTTTGCATATACAGTCATAGGTACCCTGGGGCATGTACCCAGTTTTAGAAAAGAAAAAACAGAGGAAGATCATATGTTTGGTGTAAGCATGCACAGGTGGCTTCCAGCAAGTGTCTTCCCTTTTTTTGTCTTTGTTCTTAACGAGAGTTATTTTGCTCCCCTCAGCTGTTCTGCCTGCTCCACCAAATGCCCACTAAAATAATGGCATAATAAAGCACTGACTTGAATCACTGCACAAGGTTAAATAGCTTTTAAAATTGAGGGTTTATAGGAATGATTTGCAAGGGATTGTCTCAATGGGAAATGAAGAAGATATTACACAAGTCTGTTGTATAGCAAGGTTCAGTCTACTTTCTTCAGCACTTGGAGGCCAGAGTCTCTGAGGATGAAGGTTTCCAGACCACATCTTCACAGTGTCCCAGTGAGAGAGGGTAGCATTACCATCTTGGATTTACAGTGCTATCATTTCTACACATTTATATACATACATATATATATGTGCATTTATATGTATGAGCAGGAAGACAACTGTGCTGGGAAACTAAACCCAGCTTTTCCTGTTTCTCTACTGCCCTACTCCACAACAACTTGCTTCTCTCTACAAATGCTAATACTAGCTGACCTTTGTCCAGTAGAAACACTGGAAGTGACTTACCTACTGGTGTGGATGCATGCTTGGCTAAAATCCTTTTAACTCTACCCATCATTGCCTGGTTAATTCTCATTTGTCATGCAAAGACTATGCCCCATGTAGGAACTGATGCTGCCAATGGCTTTTCCATAAGTCATGGTCCTCATCTGTCTAAGGCTAATAAGTAAATATCACTATATACATACAGCATTCATGAATACTCAAGGCTGAGGACCCCAAGTCACTTAATTCCCAGAATAATGTAGCAGCTGGATCACACATACCTGTTTTGTGAAGTCACCCAAGTGCTACAGAAAAGCTGCCTTAAAAAATGCAGAGGTCAAAAGTCTCATCCCCACAAAGAATTGCAAACACCACTTCCTATATGTGGCAGTCCCTTACAGACAGGGAAGCAATGGAAGGGTGGGGAAAGCCTAGAATAGCTTTAATTATCTTTGCAAATCAGGTAAAGCCACCCTAATCTGATTTTCCTGTGAGAGAATTCAGTGATGAATGGTTCTCCGTAATATGCTGAGCCATCACCACACTGGAGCCATTTATCATTCTGAATGCATGGAGGCAAATGTGATTATTATTTAAATAAACTACAACTGCCCCCTGCTCTGTCCTCTGTGTGTATAACCTGCAGCCTTCATTCCTCTCACAGAAGTTAAATCTTAAAATGACTAAGCTGACCCATTTCCATTTTAAATGATGCCAAGGACATTACTGAAAAGGGGAAAACAGGGTGATTTGAAGGAAAATCACTTCTGCTCTGTGAGTCATTTTCTCCCTAACTCCCGTGCCTTTGATGCACCTGACAACTTCTGCATCCTTGAAGGTGAGAGCAGCCCACGGCAGCTTTGGGATCAAGAAGGATAAAGAGCAACACCAGGGGAGGCTGGCACGGCTGGGCAGCAGGGAGGGCTATTGCTGCAACTTGTGTAACTCGTGCAGACTGTGCTGAGTCATGTTCAGCAGCGCCTCTGACATCCCACGTGCACAAAGCAAGCACAGTGTGATGCCCTTTCACAGTCATTTGTTTCTTATCCAGCTCCACTCTGGAGACTGGTTTTGATCTTTTTATCCCTGGCCCAGGTGTGAGCAGGCTCAGACCTCCCCTACTGGCAGCAGATAATGCTGACAATTTATGCAGCTCCTGAAGCATAGGCCGTTTTTCAAACTCCTTTTGCACACACCTGGGGACCATCAGCTCAGGTTATGATAGATAACATTGCTTTGGCTGCCCAAGACTAAGCTATGGCTGGAAAATTTCCCAAGGATCCCAATTATATACCCTGAAAGCGGCTAATGCTGAGCTTAAAAACAATGAACTCAAATGGAAAGAGGGTTTAGGAAACAACTTGCTCAGTGTACAGGTAGCACAGTGTCAGCATGAGGTGCAACAGTGAGGATAGTGAAGGTGGGTGTCCTTCTCCTCAGGCTTGGGAGCCCCCTGTGCTGCGCACACACCTCTGTGCCAGGGCAGCCCTCTGGGTGCTACCAGTGGGAGCTGTGTGCTGGCACAGCCGCTGCAGCCACCTCAGAGGGCTCTGCTGCGTCTGACATCAGGTCATCAGAGGTGTCTGAATGTCTTGTATAATCACGACCAACACGAGTGAAGAAAATCCCTTTTTGGAAAACAGCACAGGACTTGATTTGCACATACTGAGTGAGTGGCTGTAAACACTGAATGTGTCGGGTAAATCTGCCCTTCTTTCTGAGACAGCAGCTCATATGTGCTATTGTCAAGCGCTAAAAATAGCATCATATAGCAAAAAAGTAAACTCAGACTGCATTAGCAGCTACCCACGACCACTATCCATTTCTCCAGCAGTGGTACTGGATAGATTAAATGCTCACACAATCTCTCTGCACAGTCTCTCTGGACAGCCTGACTTCTGACTGTTGAGACCTACAGCTCCCCTGTGCATTGAATTTCAAAGTACAGAGAGAGTGTCTGAATTTAATTACTCAGCACAGCATTAGTTAAGTGTCTCTTGTGAGCTTCCTCCTGTGAGCAAGTAGGGCATGAACTCCCAGCTAGTTGTGCTTTCTTCCCTACCTGAACTCCTTTTTCATTGTTCTCAGCACACCGGGTCCCTCGAGGCGGACCGTGACGTTCTCCAGGGCTTGTTTCAGGGGATTGGTGAATTCCACAGTCACAAGCATTTCTTTACCAGCTACCATCTCACCTTGGGTCTGCAAGGCAAAGAAAGGACAATGCTCCACAAACTGATGATAGTGAAATGCCCCACGGTGAAATCTACAAGGTTAAATACACAGTACTTGTAAGGAAGGATAGGAGGGGGAATGGATTACAGCTAAAAACTTAAGGTAGACAAAACCAAGTCAGAAGATAATTGTTGGATGGGGCCATGGGTCCCACTGCAGATTTTTCTACCCATTGCAATTTTCCCTCAAGCAGCATGGCACGTCAAGAGGTAAGCCCTCATTTCCGTAGAAAAAACAGATATCTGCATGCCCAGTCTTAGAACTAAGTGTTCAACTGAAGGCAAGTCCAGCTGAGGGGCCTCTCTCCTAGATTCTGTCCCTCTCCCTGGGCTCCCCACCTGCACTGATGTGCATGGCCCACTCAGTATATGTAAGCTCCAGAAGAGAAAGGCAGGTCTTATTACCTTAAATTAGAAACATCAGACCACATTTCTTGCACCCTCAAAAGCATCGTGTCCATCTTCCCCCTACCTTGCAAACATCTCTCATGCTCTGAAGGTTTTTTCTAACTCTGTGCATGTGCTCTACATAGACCTGAGAGCCAGTTGTCCTCCAAAACCCTTACAAAGCAAAAAAGCAATACATTTTGCACTAAAAAATGCTAAACTGTGAGACTAATTAACAGTGATCACACTGACTTGCACAGTTATGGTACAGAGCTGATGGGATCGGTCTGGGATTCAGATCAGTGCTGGCAGTAAAGCTGCCTGGAAAACACCTCCCAATGAACATGTTTTTAAACAAAGAATACATGTATGCAATTTTTGTTTCTTTTCCCCTAGAGACACAACATTTCTCACAGAATATAAAAGGCTGATGGCTGGCAGATCCCAGCTGTTCCATGGATTACTTGAAAGGGCCTTCAGAAAGAACTGAAAATCATAGAATGGTTTGGGCTGGAAGGGACCTTAAAGATCATCAAGTTTTAACTCCTTGCTGTAGGCAGGGACACCTCCCACTAGATCAGGTTGTTCAAAGACCCATACAACCTGGCCTTGAACACTTCCATGGAGGGGGCATCCACAACTTCCCTGGGGAACCTGTTCCCACGTTTCACCACCCTCATAGTGAGTAATTTCTTCCTAATGTCTAATCTAAATCTACTCTCTTGCAGAAGTATCTTGTCAATAAAATTAAAGTGCTATGCTGGGGTCTGCTGCCCTCCTGCAAATTTTTAAGGAGTATGACAGTTGCAAAACCTGAAACTACTCTGATCTAAGGGATCACTCTTTACCAAACACTGCTATGTTGCCTGGAGCAAAGAACAAGATACGCACAGGTAAGATCTCAAGAGCATTTGGCCACCTGAATTTGTGAAAGACATCAGTGATGTTTTCAGAAGTCCTATCCCAGTTAGAGGTCTTAAGTCCTCCTCATTTCAATTGCTCATTTAAGATCACTGTTACATGGGGGTGATTCAAAATAATTCTGAACTGCTATACATGCAGCTGAAATTATGGTCTGTATTTGTCAAGTTTATTTTTGTCATCTGGTCTGCAGCAAAATTAGAATAAGGTCCCTACACTGTTAAGTCTGACAATGTCCTTAGACCAACAGAGAAACATCAAAGGTGTATCTGAAGATGAGTGGAAATACATTTTTTTCATTCTTCTCCATTACTCTCACACAAAGACCTCCAGTCTGCCAGTCAAATTCAATGAAAAAATCCGACAAGAAATCTAGGGAGATAAACTTATTCTGATTTATTAAAGAAACTATAAAGCAACATTTCCTATATAAATACATAGGTACATCCCTCCTTCCCTCCAGCCCCCCCTTTAAAAAAATCCAGGTATTAAAATTTCAGCTTATTTTTACACATCACAAAGAAGCACAGAAGAGACAAAATCAGTTTTACTAGAAGACTTTTTTTGGACAACAACCTATCTTATGTACTAAACATACTTTCTTCATAACAGCAGGGAGGATAAACCACTTTGAAGCTGAAACTTGGGATCTTGTATAAGATGTTCTGTGTAAGTATTGAATTGAAAGAACTCACTGCTTCCAAAATTTGATTATTGAAGACAGTATTTGAAGTAGATTTTATCTTTCCTGTTTAAATCCTCTCTAGAATGCTCAGTAAACCTGAAAACTTCTATTTGAAAATTCCAATAATCTGATTAGATCATAGTGACATTTCTGTAGGCTATGAAGTATTTTGCAAACTTCACTGTAGTTTTGATCTACATTTTAAAAAATCTTTTTCTGCAGAAGGCTGCTGCTTAATATTACTACACATATTATTGTACGGAAACATGAACATTAGTTCAAATAAGCATATAGGGAGGAAAAGGTCTATAAACTGAAATCTCTTTCAAGGTCCTGAATCTTGGGAAGCCGCAGTCATAGAATCATAGAATCATAGAACTATTCAGGTTGGAAAAGACCCTTGGGATCACTGAGTCCAACCATCATCCCTACTCTACAAAGTTCATCCACCAACACCACAACCAAATTATCCTTAAACACATCCAGGGATGGTGACTCAACCACTTTCCTGGGCAGCCTATTTCAATGTCTGAACACTGTCATGTTTATATAAGGTTTCCTGAGTGGGTGTTCTGAATTGTAGGGTGTGTTTTTTTAGTATCAGGTCCAAAGCAGATCCAAATTACATCATTCAAAGCAGATGAAGGCTCAGCACTTTTGAAAATGAGGCAATTTATTTGGGTGCCAAGTTATGAATGGAGAACTCTAACCCTGAGCTCTGCCTTTGCCATATGACTGAGGTCTCTGTCCTACCAGAAACATTACACTTCTTCATTTTCAGAGGTACCATGCCACTGTTTGCAGAAATGCTTGAACTTTCAGAAAACTCCACTAACAGCACATTCTGAGAGTGGCAGCAAAGCACTGGAATCCTGAAAGCATCACCCGAGTGAGTGCTGCCAGTCCAAGCTTTGAAGGAGCTTTCCAAGCAAATTCACCTCAATGGCATTGTTCTTCATTCTTCAGCAAGAGGCCTCTGTGCTGTGTTGCTTTAAATATAATAGAATTCTGAAGTAGTTAAAGACCTGAGTGAATTAAGTGAGTAATCTCTCTTACCCTTTAAGTTTCTTCAGCTTTCTCAGATCTTTCACCCTCCTTTCTCCACTGGGATCATATCAGCTCTCTACTACCAGTGATGCTGTCAGCCTCAGACTTCAATGTAGGGATACTCAGTACAATATATAACTTACTTGCACCCTTTTGTACACACCAGCCAGCTGCTGCTTTGAAAGGTCCATGTTAGACTGAAAGCTGAGTGTGCACACACACACACACACACACACCTCCTGCCCCCATCCCAGAAGTCAATGTGGCAGCCTTGTAGAGAACATCCCACATGCAGCATGGTGGGTTGCTCCCCTCCACCCCAGGCCTGAAATACCTTGATCCTCAGGGCAGGAATTTCCAGGACCGTTGCCTTCTGCGTGGCCAGAATCTTCCCTGTTTCATTGATCCGGGCCGTCACAAAGAAATGGAAGGAGGCTTGGTCCAGCAGGTCGCTCAGGTACTCACTCGATTTGACCACCACATCAAAAGCACTAGCTGAGGGGAGAAACAGGAATGAAAAAAAAAGCCATCTCAAGCAATTTAAGGGTTAATTGCTCCTTCCATCATAGCCAGTGCCAGTTACACAAGCACCTCGGAAAAAAAGGTGGCCCACCACCAAAGAATGACTTTGTGGGTTTGTTTGTTGTTTTTTTCCAAAACTATCTTCACTTCTTTAACTCACCCCTCCCTCTCTTGTCTTGCCCTCCTTCCATTTAGGGTGTGAGCTCCCTAGGGCAAGGGCTGGGTTTGTGCACAGCCTCTGCCCAGTGCCCATCATCACAGACCCAGGTCACTGTTAAAGATTTCTAGGCACTTCCACAAAATAAGCAGAAGTGAGAGTGGCAAGAAATAGCTACTGGGCATGAAGGTCCAAACCAGCTTTTGAGTGTCACCCCGCAAACCACTTTATTCCTCTGCTTTCTCTGCCTCTCTTCGTGGCAAATAGATGCCACCAGGGACGCCACCAGGGCAGCCACTGGGGGTTGTGAGCCCATGCAGGTGACCTAGGAGACCACCTGTTCTCCAGGACATGTCTGGATATCTGCCTTTTTCTTACATTGGTCTTGCCTGCAAAATTTAGCAAGAAGGTCTTCCTGTCACCAGCATACTCTTCAGAGAGCTTTCACGTGCTCCCTGAGAATAATTATTTGAAGGAACAAGTCCCTCTAAGCTAGATGGTTGAGAGGCAGGGAATCATTAATTTTAGCCATATTGAACTGTAATTCCCAGGCCAACAATGGTGTGAGAATGTGATGAGAGAAGACCTAACTCAGTGACTGGGCAGAATATATAGATCTGGAGCTCCTGCCTCTATAAACATTAATTATAACCCTAGTAAACATATCAACACTTCCAATCAATTAAATATTATTGTTCCTGTTATCCATTATTTGTATTGTATTTGTGACTTAGGCTGTACACACTGAGATAACTGAACTCAGTTGGGTAAATGACATTTACCCCTTTTCACTCCTTTGATCCACTCACATCAAAACCTGTTCCCTTATTTGGTTTTAAAGCTATTCCCTTGGGGACCAGTTGACCTGGATTTACCAGGCCAGCCTTAAATTTACTTGATATGCTCCCTCTCCATCACTCTCTCCCTCCCTCTCACTCTGTATCTCTTTTAAAAGAATTTCCCATAATGCTCCAAACTATAAATTATTAATCACAAAAGGTATTTCTCATCTGTGATAAGTAAGTACATGAACAAGTTACAATCAAAGAAAAAATTACTGTACGCTGGAAAGAAAGACTAACTTTCCTGTTTAAATGTAATCACCACAGGAAGAGAAAAAAAAAAAAAGACTTGTATTTCCTCAGCCCTGGCTGTGTTGGTAGGTTGCCAGAACTCCTTACTACATCTGGGAAAGCCAAGGGAGACACAACACAGAGCTGTCCTACAACCTTAACAAAAAAAAAAAAAAAAAAAAAGAGAAAAGAAAAAGAAAAAAGAAAAAGGAAAAGAAAAAAAAATAAAAATAGAAAGAAAAAGAAAAAGAAAAGGGAAAAGAAAAAGAAAAGGAAAAGGAAAAGAAAAAGAAAAAGAAAAAGAAAAAGAAAAAAAGAAAGCTAAATATAACCAAGCAGATGCAAGAACACCTTTGAAGGCATTGGAAGGTTTAAGCTATTTAAATCCTCAAAGTGTTTTCAACCCACACAATTTCTTTAATCATTATTCTGAAGATCATGAATTTGATTCCTGCTTGAAAACTTGGTTTACTTCATTCTTTCAGTAGCATGAGTTGGAAGAATGCCTTTGAGAAACCTTTATTATATGGTAATATTTTGTTACCTCCAGATATATATATGCAGATCTTGCCATGAATGAAGCCTACAAATTCTGCCTGAGTGCCTCAGGTGTCCTACCACAACAGCCCTGACGGAATATTCTCACACAGTTGCAAATGATCATGGTGCTTCCCTTCACACTGTCCATCTACTCAAACACTGTTCCTGATTGCATGAGTACTCCTTTTAAAGGCAAAGCTGAAAGGTTCATGTTCCAGTTTTATGCATCATCTTAAAAAATGGCATAACTGGTGAGGGGTTCTTTTTCGTCTTGTGGGACAAGGTGCACCACAAGTCGATAACTGTAGCTCAGCTATAAGTCATTTTCCACCTTGAAAGGTGGTAATACCTTAAAAGTCAGAAGCAGTGATGGGGACATACTTTGGTACACATGCAAAAAAATTCATGTTGGTTCTCTCTGGTGCCTCTCTCTAGTCTGAGTTCACTCACCATCGGGGAATTCAGATTTTCCAGCATAATTTCAAAAAAGCTTTTTGCAAACCATTGATTTAACAAACAAACAAAAATATATAAAAAATAATGAGACTCAGTGATGCTTAAACATCATCTATTAATTTTATTTCTTGCACAGTGGATATAGATGAGATTACCCTCAAAGCACTGCAGAAGCTGTGTTTTATATGACAATACCTTACACAGACCTTTGATGCAAGAGTTGATATAAGACTGAACTTGCCACTATCAAAGAAGTGGCAAAAAAATTAGACTGAGCAATTGAAACTGCTTTTTTTTAAACTATATTGAGTCAAGTCTCCATACAGTTTTGCATCAAATATTCAGTAACTGATGCAAGGCAATATAAAACCTCACACTTTGTTTTGACAGGCTGTCTCGGAACAAACCAATACAACCCAGAGTCAGCCCATTTCCACGTCCCTCACAATGGAGTCAAGGTTAGAAAGAACCAGCAAGCAGCTGTCAGGGCATTGTCATAGACCAGAGATAGAATTTTTATTAACCTTCACCTGCAGATCCCTGTAAGTGGACTTTTACTTTAAGGAGATCAATCAGCTCCAAATCAAAACATGCAATTTTAGATGATGCTCAAAGTGGAGACCTTTTTTTCCCCATGGTTTGGCAGGAACCATGATTCAACAGAGGCTTCTCACCGAAGCAAAACCTGTCCTCTTTGAGGAGAGAGGGCTCACAGTGTCTCCTGAGCTGGTTTGAGGTAGACAAAATGGATGACAAAGCTCAGAGATCTGCCAGGGTTACTGCAATCCAGCACGAAATCCAGACAAGGAGGCCCATCCTTTGGCCTTCCAAAGTTCTAGCACTCCTACACTGAGAGAGCACTGCTCTCAGCAGAGACCATTTTTGCCAAGTATCAGTGTCAAGAAGGCAAAATTATCGCTCCTGACTTTCTCAGTAGGGAACTCAAGTAGAGCATCTTCTGAATTAGCCTCCGTAAGAGCACATTCTCATCACTTCTTCTGAGCTGGATGCACTCACCCAAGAACACTGGCCTGTTAGAAGAACAAGTGATTGGCAGCCACTTCTTGCTGGAGATGCCAATGATCTACAACCAGTCTGCTCTATAGTGCTTTGGAGTACATCAGGTCCTAAACACTTACTGACTGTTTTCTGAATGGGACTGCCATGGCTGACAGGAAATAAATTGGATACATCCAAAATAAAAGAGGAGAATATCCCTCTTCCCTACTTTGAACAGTGCAAAATCCTGACCTCAGATGTGTGAGCTAAGCTGCCAGGAACTGCTTTTCTCATGAGAAGAGGGAGGCAGGAGATCCCCACTGCAGTCCAGAGGACACTAAGAAAATTGAACACTGTATCTGGAAGTATAACTCACCCCTGGGGGGCCTTCTCTATAGTGGCACATTCTAGTTACAGATCAACTGTTTAGATCCCTGTAAATATAAAATCCCTGACCATCCAGTCCTCCAAAGCCAAATGTGTGCTTGGACCCATGCAGAGTTTGTAAAGTTCATTCAAGTAAGACAAGATACTGACTTTTCATCCCTGTAAATGCCACCCTGGGGAACCAGAACTTTCCTTCACTTGCTGAAATACTGCTAGGAGACTAAAGGTATGAAAAAAAGATACCTTGAAGCCTAATACCTGCACTCCTTTGCTTTCTGTTGTACTAAATAAGAAAAATTAACAGTTCCCAGACATGCATCTTGGTGTGAAAGCATTATGCAGGGAGCAAGAGCCTGAAGAAAACAGCCTCAGCTCTAAATGACACTGGTAGCAGGGCCAGAGTTGGGACATTTATTGAGTATCCTACCCATAGCTGCTAGAATCACCTCTACCCATGGGTAGAGACATTGGTGACAATTAATGACACAGAATTTAAAAAAAAAGCTAGCAGGCTTGAAAACAACTGTGCAATCTTACATGAATAGGGTTCCAGTTTTGCACTGAAAGAGT